GCAGCCCTCCAGGAACAGACTGCTCCAGTGTGGATCCCCTGCAGGGTCACAAGTCCTGTCAGAAAACCTGCTACAACATGGGCTCCTCCCCGTATTGGTCCACAGGGAGCTTGCTCCAGTCAGTCCAGGCTTCCCACAGGGCCACAGCCTCCCTCAGGCATCCACCTGCTCACACGTGGGTTCCTCTATGGGCTGCAGGTGGAGATCTGCTCCACCATGGACCTCCGTGGGCTGCACAGGGACAGCCTGCCTCCCTGTGGCCTCCATCACAGGCTGCAGGAGAATCTCTGCTCTGGCACCTGGAGCACCTCCTCGCCCTCCTTCTTCACTGACCTTGGCGTTCACAGAGTTGTTCCATATTTTCAGTACTCTCTTCAGTTGCCATTGTTGTGTGCTAGATTGGGGTTTTTCCCCCCCCTTCTTAAATCTGCTACCACAATGGCACTACTACCATCACTGATGGCCTTGGCCAGCAGCAGGTCCGTCTTCAAGCCGGCTGGCCTTGGCTCTATCAGAGATGTAGGAAGCTTCTAGCAGCTTCTCACAGAAGCTACCCCTGCAGCCTCCCTGCTACCAAAACCTTGCCATGCAAACTCAATTCATTAGGCTGTTTGCATCAGGTAGTAACTTTGCTAGAAAAGCCTCCTCTCTCTCCACTTAATAAAAGAGTAAAGCATACTTATCACATCCATAAGCTCCTTTGCTGTGAAACACACAGCCAAGTAAGGTAGTACATTTAGAAATTTATCTTTCTCCAAGCTTCAGAAACCTAATCACCAAAACAGTCAGTTGAACATTACTAACAACTGTGAATTTCAATGGATCAAGTAGGAATCAGCAGAAGAAGTGAGCAGAAAGAACTGAAAGAAGAGTATTTAATAGAGACTTAATGAGAAAACACTTAATTGGTCTAGGAATCAAAGAATAGCTTATAGGCTATATTTTCTTAACAACTTTTTCATCCAGTTTAGCTTTTTCTTTTTTACTCCAAGAAACATCTAATGTCTTCATTTGAAAAATATATGAAGCCTTACCAATTCATAACTTTGTTAAAAATGGGTTTTGGCTAACCTATACTCCCCACTTGGTTATATTTGAGTTATAAGCACCCAAGTGTGTCAAAACAGTGCCATAAAAAAAAGCATGAGAGACTCAATGCACCGATAATCTTACAAAAAAATTATATACTTTAAATCTGAAATCATTAATCACTTGGATATGCTACTAAGTAGCATTCTACAATGCAACAGCAATCACAATTTTCTGTGGCATCAGTCTCAAAGGATATTTTTTTTTCCCAAATTTTTTTAATTATAGGACAGGGCCTGTGAAGTTCTATTAGAATATTTTTCCAAGCTGATGTATAATACAATGGTAAAAATGTGCCACTTCTCTAACCTTTAGAAGCCAACATATGAAGACCTCCTTGAAAGCACAGGTATCTCAACACAGGAGGGAGTTACCACTACCTTTTAAAAGGAATTTCAGACATCAGTTAACAGAGACTGGGGGGGGGCTGTGGCAAACCCACTCAAAATTCACACTAACTCCAAACGCACTACAAGGCAGCACAAGAAGCCACATACAGCAGACTTCCCTCCGCCCCTGTATTTTAACGAGTCTGACGAGCAGCATTTCAGGCTCAAGCTTCTAGGCACGCAGGAACAGCCTCGCAACGTAGCAAAACGCGCGGTGTCAGAGCCAGCAGGCCAACGAGGGCATGGAGGCAGCGGCTCCACCAGGCCGCTTCCCCCACCAGCTACGGCTTTCGCCTCGAAGCCCTGCGCCCGATTACCTCAGGGGGCCCCTGCCCGCCCCCGCTTTGCCGCACGGGTACGGCTACCCGTCCCGCTAGCTCAGCCC